CCTAATTGGCCCATTTGTCACTCTCACTGGCAAGGCCTCCCTGCAGCTGAGAATGGAGGGTCAGAGGGTCAGAGGGGCCTTCTCTGCACCCTTCTCCTCTGCCAGCTGCACGTCTTGGCCTCCGTGCACCCTGCCTGTGCTCAGAATAGGGCCTCAGGCCTGCCGTGAGGAAAGTAGGCCGCAGCTTCAGAGGCTGCCGCTCCGGGGCCTGTGCTCCTGCCCCGGTGTCCTCATTGTGGAGAGGGATGCTGGGGTAGGGGGGCCATCACTCACCTGGGTCCAGCCAGGGACTCGAGCCTGGTGGGGAGGGTGAGCGGGCCTTTCCCTGATGGAACCCGGCCCACCTTGGCAGGGTGACAGGTGTTTTTCCTTGTGTGTCAGACACAGGGCAAGCTGTTCCCTGCTGGCACTTGCCAGTGGCAGGCCCAGTGCTGGGGAGGAGGTGTCTGGGCAGTGAGGAAGATGCTGCGATGCCTCCTCTCTGTGCCCTGTCTCCCTCACATGGCCTCGTGAGGGGCATAGGCAGGCACAGTGCACCCCACTTGATAACTGGGACCACTGAGTGCAGATGTGGTGGGCCTGCCCGAGGTCACCTGGTAGATGAGCCTGGGCAGTGCCTGGTGCCGTGACGGATACTCTTCGCTGAGTCGCTGGGTCTTACCCTCCCCTCTGCCCTGGGCTCCCCCTGGTGAGGCCGGCTGTTGCCTTCACTCCCGCCTCTCCTTCCATGGCCTGGTCCCCCTGGTGGCCGCCATACCCTCCTGCCCACACTTTCACTCCTTCTCTAGCGGTGGGGGCCCTGTGACATTTTGAGAGGCCTTGTGGGTGGTGAGGCCAGGCAAGAACCTCAAGGTTCCTAGTGTCAGTGACTGGAGTGGTGGGGGTAGGAGGGGAGCAGTCTGGGAGGCCCGTGCACCTGCACTGAGCCCTCAGGGCCGCAGTGGTGGGCAGCATGCTCCTCCAGGAAGGTGAGCCCACAGCCCCCATCAAGCCCTGGGCCCTGGCCTGGTGGGCTCTCTGCCCTGCTCCTATTGGCTGGGATCGTCTTTCTGATGTTGCACTGACAGTGTGCCATTCCCATCCTCGGTCTGTCAGTCATGTGGCAGGGGCTCAATACATATTTGGAGAAGGGATGAATGGACATCTACCATGTCATCCCTGCCCAGTGGGGCTTGGAGGATGTGGGTGAAGAAATCAGTAGATGCTAGGAATATATGTTCCAGTTGGAGAGATCAAACAGGGCAGGATCAGCAAGTATCTAGCAACTGAGTGTGACAATGGCTGGTGCAGATACTAAGTGTGGCTGGGATGCAGAGATGGGGGAAAGGCACATGGCCGGGGTGGTCAGAAAGGGCTTCACAGGGAAGGAAGGACTGCAGGTGGCCCTTGGTGGCAGGTGAGGGGGTGCCCAGTGGGAGGCAGTCAGGCCCTATATGTGGTCAAATGGCATTGGAATGGGCTTCTGTGTTTGGGCTGAGAGATGGTATTTGGATGCCTCTTTGGTGGGGAGGAGATGGTAACTGGTGGCTTTACTTGTGATCTAGCAGCTCCCTTGCCCCACACCTTGCAGGAGCCCAGTTCTGGCTTTATGCTGCCCACCTGCAGCCCTGCTCAGAGCTGGGACCTGACCACATCCCTTCGTCTCCTTCTGGCCAAAGCAAATATTGAGGCTTTGAAGGTACTGTATGTTTTCTGTGGCTGCTGTAACCACAGGCTGGGGAGCTTAAAACAGAAATTGATTCTTGCACAGTGCTGGAGGCCAGAAGTCCAAAACCAAGGTGTTGGCAGGGCTGTGCTCCCTCTGAAGACTGGAAGGGAGAACCTGGCCCCTGCCTTTCTCAGCTTCTGTTGCTGCCCGTGGTCCCTGGCATTCTTGGGCTTGTCGGGGCATCACTCCTGCTCTGCTTCTGTCTTCCCGGCGCTCTCTCTGTGCGTCTGTGTCGTCTCCTCTTCTTGTAAGGGCACCAGTCACTGCGCTGGGAGCCCACCCTCACCCACTATGAGCTCATCTTGGTTACATTTGCAGAGAGCTTATTTCCAAGTAAGGTCACATTCATAGGTGCTGAGGATTAGGACTGCAACACATCTTTTTTGGGTGACACGATGTAACCCACAACAGATGCTTAGAGATTTTCTTTTGTTTGCCTCCAAATCCCCTCTCCCTATTGGTCTCTGTCCTCTCTCAGGTCTCTGGAAGTCTGGGCTGTGGGCAGGAACCCCCTCGTCCTCTCACAGTGCTGTCTCTCATTTTCTGGGTTGTGGGGGGGTAGATGCTGGTCTTGCCATTCAAGGCCAAGTCTTACCCTGCAGGGGCTGGCAGCTTGGTTAGAAATGCTGCTTTTCCCTGTTTGGGGCTGGGTGGTGAGGAGATAGAGAGTGCATTTAGGGGCAGAAAAGAGGGCGGAGACAACTGCAGATTTCTAGGGCTTTTGCGCAAGAGTGGTGGGACCTGGCAGAAAGTGCCTTCACCTTGTCGCTGGAGTTCTGGAATGGGTTCCTGGCTCCACTGCTCAGTAGCTCTGTGATCTTGGGCAAGTTTTCTGGGGTCTCTGAGGCTCAGCCTCCTCTCTGAAGTGGGGTGGCACAGTAGACCCTCTTAGCCACAGCTTCACTTTCTCCGGGTTCAGTTACCTGCAGTCAACCAGGGTCTTGAAGCAGATGATCCTCCGTCTGATGTACAGTCAGAAGGTCAGCAGTGGCCTGACGCTGCATCGCAAAGTTACCTGCAGTCAACCAGGGTCTTGAAGCAGATGATCCTCCGTCTGATGTACAGTCAGAAGGTCAGCAGTGGCCTGACGCTGCATCGCAGTGCCCACACCACCCCCTCCCTTCCTCTGTCAGGGAGAGTTTTATCATCTCCCATCACCACAAGATGAAGAAGGGTGAGTGCAGCACAATAAGGTATTTTGAGAGAGAGAGGGAGAGAGAGAGACCATATTCACATAATTTTTATTGCAGTCTGTTGTTATACTTGTTCTATTTTATTATTGGTTGTCATTGTTCACCTCTTACTATGTTTAATCTATATATGAAACTTTTATCATAGGTGTGCATGTATAGGGAGAACATAGTGTATATAGGGTTCGGTACTATCTGTGGCTTCGGGTGCCCACTGCGTCTCTTGGGACCTATTCCCTGGTGGGGCAATGAGGGCTTCCGTAATAGCGGTTGCTCGTGAGATCTCACAGAGTTTTTGTAAGGATTAAGTGATAAAAGATAGATGTGTTCTTAGTACTTTCACACTGTTAAGCAGCCAGCACCACCATTCCTCTCCAGCACGTTTTCATCTTCCCAAACTGTGGGTATTTTTTAAAATTGAAGTATAGTTGATAATATTATATTGGTTTATTATTAAATCCTCACTGAAAATCCCTTTTAAACTACAAACGTTGAGCACCTTTTATTCATTTGATAAATAAGGACGCAGTTCCTGAGAAGCAAGGGCCTGTCTGCGGTCATGCTGTGGGCTCGGGGCACTGCCGGAGTGGGGCCCAGGCCCCACGTGGTTTGGTGTCATCACCTGCCACCTCCCACCCTTTGCCCCTGTGCGGGCTGCAGGCACTTGGGAACACGTGAGGCCCACTGGGGCCGAATGCCTCTGGAGACTTCCTCCCTCGTCCACTCCCCATCCCCTGTCTGTGCGGCCTCCAGGAAGGCCAGCATTTGTCCCATGGGGAGACACACAGCCACCTGCTTGCAGGGACTCCCTTTCAGGCTGTTCCATCTCAACCAACCTCTGTCTCTCTCTCTGTATCTGTTCCTTTCTCGAACGAGATAGAGAACCTGTAGAGACCAATGGGTGTTGGATTGGGGCGCCCTTTAGGATGGCTTTGTGAGGTACCTCATGGTGTGGAACGAGCAGGGCAGGGAGGCGTGGACTGGGTTTCTGGTCCTGTCTGCAGCTCCATTGTGCTCTCACTGAGCACGTAGCTGTTGAGGTCCTACTGTGTGCATGTCGGCGGGGGTTGGGGGGAATACAGTGAACAAGACCTTATTACTCTTGGAGTAGTTTTTAAATGATTAATTATTAATTTTCATTGCTAATTATTACTAATAAGTAATTTAATCTTATTACTACTTGGAGCTGTTGTGGGACACAAATCATAGTGTGTGAGAGGACAGGACGTGGTGGCAAAGAGCTTCACCTACAGGAAGTGATGATGGGAGATGGGGTGCAGGTGGGGTAGGGTGAGCAGCCTACTGCTAGGGCATGGGGCCAGGTGGGAGGCAGACAGGGAATTGCAGTGCCTGTTGGGCCTGGTGCCCTGGGCTCCATGGGATCCTCCACTTCTGGGGATTGGGTGATGAGGGCAGACCGGACAGGCAGCGTCTGCCTTCGGGCAGCTCACGGTGAGCTGGAGCACAGAATCGTGCACAGGTGGTTATGAAGCAGAGTCATCAGAGCTGACAGAGAGGAATGGGAGACGGCAGGTTATGCCACCAGGGGAGGAGAAGCTGACTGTGCCTTTTGGGATGGGGAAGCCGGTGGAGGGATGGCGGGTCAGGAAAGCCCTCGGCTTATCTCATCCTGGGGGACTCTCTCTTCATGCCTCTTTCATCCGTAGGTCAGAGGGGATGGCTCCTTTGACCTATGGAGGCATCTGTGGGGTGACTGGCAGGGATTATTTTCAGTGGGAAGAGTGGTGTGTGGAAGGACTTGGGCAAGGTTGTCCAGGAGGGCGGCCCAGCAGAAGGCAGAGCCCAGCTTTCCCGCTTGGGTCCCAGGCATCCTTGACAAGCCTGCCCTGGGTTTTCTCTGGGTTCCTCTGACTTCGGATCCCTTCAGAGCAGCCATGCCTCAGCTGTGTGCCGGGCTCCCCAGGAAGTCCTGTCCTTGAGGAGCTCCCAGCCCAAAGCCCCAGAATGGGGCTCCCCCATGCCCTCCTCTCTATTTTCCTGCTCCCTCCCACCTTGGTACCTTTGGGGAGGAGCTGCTGTGCCACAGAGGAGGCGGGAAGGCAGCTAGACTAAGCTGTTCTCTCTGGGTCTTCTGTCACCAGGTCCCGGCTGGCCGACTTCCACACCAATTGTCGCGCATCCTACCAGACACTAACCAGCTGCCCTGCCGACAATTACCAGGCGTGTCTGGGCTCCTATGCTGGCATGATTGGTAAGACACCCGCTGTGTGCTGGGCCACAGTGGCTCCTCTGCCGGCAGGCGCTGAGGGCCAGCTCAAGGCTCTTTGTCGGACAGTGTGAGCTTCCCCTTCTCCGTGGCGATTTGGCATAGCACTGTCATGAGAAACCAGGGGAGAAGCCAGCTCTTTATCATCGGGGAGGAGGGCCCCAGGGGCCTCCTAAGGCTTTTGAAATAAGAAGAAAAGGTAACATTTATTGTATAGTTCTGACATTCTCAGAGCTGTGCTAAGCAGTTCACAAGGACAGTCTTGTTGAGTTCTTACAGCAGTGCTTGCTAGGGAGGTGTCTCCATTTTACAGAAGGGGAAACTGAGGCTTCAAGAAGTTAAGTAAGTTACGCAGGTTCACCAGGCTAATAAACGTTGGCCCTGGGATTAAGCCCAGGACGTGAGCCTTAGTCTCCTTGACTCGGAGCACACCCTCTGCGTGTGGGCGAATGAGAAACAAGGGTTCATGCTCCAGGACGGGCTCCGGGGTGTCCCCTCGCTGTCCTGGTCAGTCTCCCGGGCTCATGCCCCTCTGCCCCCTCTGCCTCCCAAGATCGTTGGGATAGTAACGCTCAGAGTTCGGATTGTGAGTTGGGATGTGTGTGTGTTTGGGGGGCAGGTAGGGGGGAGGGAGGGTCCCAAGCCTCTTTGCTGTATGTCTGGGGCTGGGGGCCCAGAGAGCAGGCCTTACCTCCCCTCTCTTCGCCTCCCTGTCTCCCTGCCCAGGGTTTGACATAACGCCCAATTACGTGGACTCCAGCCCCACCAGCACCGTGGTGTCCCCCTGGTGCAGCTGTCGTGGGAGCGGGAACATGGAAGAGGACTGTGAGAAGTTCCTCAGGGACTTCGCCGAGAACCCGTGCCTCCGTAAGCCCCGCGGGGTCCTCGCCGCGCCCAGAGGCAGCCCTTGCGCCCTTCCCGTCCCAGGGGCCCTGGAAGGCTGTCTTAGCCCTGCCCTCCGTCCGCATTGGCCGAGAGGGCTTCCAGGCTTCTCCGGCATGAGTGCTGACCACAGAGACCTGGGATTGGGTCGTGGGCCTCCACACCGCTCTGCAGCCAGGCCAGCCTGTTTGCCACTGGAGGCCTTGATCCTGTGTCAAGTCAGGGCCAAAAGTTTTTGGTCTGTTACCCTGACACCTTCATCCAGGACCCTTTGGGGACAGCCCTGGGGGGAGGACCTCAGCATCTGTCTTCCTTTATGAATCTATTTGTCCTTAGAATCAGTGGCTTTCTTTTCAACTCACCCAACTTCTAATCCAAAGGCTGAAGAGAGAGGTTGCCACAGGTCTGTCACCCCAGTCTGACACCCCACTGGAAATCTCCTCCCTCTTTTCATCCCACCTTTCTTCCTTCCATCTGTCTCTCCATCCTTCCTGTCTGCACGCAGGGACTGTGGCTGGGCAGTTTGCAACCTGAAGGAGGTGTGGTGTCGGGGTCCCCGTGATCATAGTACAGAGTGGATGGTTTTGGGGTGGAGGTCTGCCCATGCTCTTCAGGAGCCCAGGGTGGGGATGCCCAGGCAGCCTGCAGGATGCAGCCCTGGAGGCTTCTCAGAGGCTGGCCCACAGATAGTGGGGCCTCAGTCCGCTGAGGGGGCAGGGAGGGTGTGCCCGGCCCCCTGGGCAGAGGTGGGTTATGGGAACTGCCAACCACTCAGTCTTGCTGTAGAACATGAGGAAGCCTGGAGTAATCTGGGGAGACAGAGCGAGGGCTTCCCACGACAGGCCCTGCAGACCCGAAGCTTTAGGACCTTAGGGTCTTACAGGTGGCAGGCGTGGTGATGTGGGTCACCAAAGGGGTGTCAGCAGGTGGCTTCCCACCGGCTTCCCACACTCCCCTTCTCCCCTCTTCTCTCTCACCTACATTTCTTTCTTTCTCGGTTTCTCTGTCTTTTTCAACCTCCCTCTTGATATTTTCTTCTCTGCATGTGAGACTGGTAGGCATCTGAAGGGCAGCTTCAGCAAAGTTAAGCTGGGCTAGCTTCCATCTGTCCCCAGCCCTGAGCTATTATAGGGACGCGAGTGGATGGGGGTGAAGGGCAGCAGCGCTAGGGGTGGTCCTGACCTCGCAGTGTCTGCCTGCTCTCTTGCCCACAGGGAATGCCATCCAGGCCTTTGGCAATGGCACAGATGTGAACTTGTCCCCTAAAAACCCAGCAGTCCAGGCCACGCAGGCCCCCAGGGTGGAGAAAATGCCTTCTTTGCCAGATGACCTCAGCGACAGCACCGGCCTTGGGACCAGCGTCATCACCACGTGCACGTCTGTCCAGGTGAGGGGACGTGGCCCCCCAGCTGGGAACCAGAGCCCAGGCAGGCCGAGGGCCCAGAGAGGCAGAGCTGTGCTGGAGGCGGGTGGGAATTAGCACACTGGGGGCCAAGCTCCCCCTCTGGGCCAGGACCCAAGAGGCAGAGGAGCTGTTGGGGGCTAGTTTTTCAAGTATTCATTCACTAGGCTTTCACCTGGCGAGTATGGAGCACCTGCTCTGTCACAGGGCTGTGCTAGATGCCAGGGGTGCCAGAGAAAGGCACTGGGTACCACTCGGTAACCATCTGCTCAGTAGGCAGTGTGCTAGTGGACTCACTACCTGTTTCATCGAGTCCTCATGCAGGGAGGCATGGCGTCCCTGTTATACACTCAGGAGACTGGCCCTGGGGGACCGCCGAGGTCACAGCTGGTTAGTGGTGGAACGGGACTGCAAACCTCCACCGGGCCCCAAACTCATAATGTTTATTTGTTCACTGTCCATCCACCATCCACCTGTCCTTCTGTCTACACATCTAGTGTGTGTCATGTATGCACTGTGTGTCAGGCCTCATGGAAGATGCTGAGAGGTGCCAGTGAACGAGGCAGACACAGTCCTGGGTTCTGTGGCCTTTATGGTCTTGTTGAAGGTCAGACAATTCAGCAAGCATCAGACGTGGACTGAGGTCGGTGTCCCAACAGGGGACAGTGTGGCACCGTGGAGGCACGTCCTAGGGCTCCCCACGTAGCCTTTCTCTCTGCTGAGCTACCCTCACGCCGTCACGCCATCTGCCACAGTGGACTCCCTACATAGGAGGTCGGTGCTTGTCAGACCACACCCCCCACCTGCCCACCCACCCACTCATTCACATACATGCACACACACGTACAGACTCATACACACTCACATATACACTCATTCACATATACTTGCACACATACAAACATATCCATATACACACAGATACACACACACGCACACACACACATACACATACTCTCTCGCCCCCCACCCCCTGCCACCTCAGACCAAAGAGGCTGACAGAGGGCCTGTGTGGAATATCGGGGAGAGCAGAAGAGGGAGGGAAGGGCATGGTGGTGGGCTGGGGGCCGAGGGGGATGTTTCAGGCCGGAGCTGGGACTGCAGTTGCCAAAGAAGCAGGTGGGTGAGGTACATTGGGGACACAGTGCAGTGCAGGTGTGGGGATGGGGAACAGGGCCTGGCCGGGCATGAGGCAGAGCAGCCTACAGTCTGAGTAGGGCAGTGGGCTCCTGGACCCAAAGGTGGGCATGGCTACAAAGTCTCAGTTATCCAGACGGGTAGGTCCTGCCATGCTGGCACACAGCAGTGTGACCCTAGTGGGCAGCATGGTGCGGTGTACCTGACACTTCCTGAGAGGGTGGACCTGACGTGCCCTTACCACAAAAAGAACAGGGCAGCCATAAATGTGTGAGTGATGGGTGTATTGACTGGCTTGTGAATATGTCACAGTGTATATGCATATTGGACATTCGGTTGTACACCTTAAATATACACAATTTTGATAAAATAACTTCAGTAAAGTTGGGAAAACCCAGCAGGCATTCACAGTGCAGGGTGAGGACTTGAGCAGGGTGGGGCTGGGCAGAGGGTGTGGGTCTTCAGGTCCCTGGGCACCCATGGCCCCCCAGCAGCCAGTGATGTGTGGTCCTGGTGGGAAGCACCCCTCACCCCCTCCACCCCCACCCCCCACTGTGGGCTCCATTCTGTACCAGCCGCCCTCCAGGTGCCCTCAGTAGGTTCGGCAGGGCCTCTTCCATGCCCAGCGCCCCTCCATTAGGTCGCCCCCCAACGTGGACTGAGGTGCCGCATCATCCTCGGGCAGCTCCTCATTACACCGGGTGTGCTTGCGGGGCTGGGGGCTGCTGCGCAGTCGCAGGCTTAGTTTCATGCTAGTAGCAGTCAGTGTGACGGGTCTGGGCTGTTCCACCTGTCAGGTGGCCCCGCCCCACCGTGGTCCACATGTCCCTGAGGGCCATCAGCCCCCGTGGTGCTGCCTGTCCTTCCTGAGCCCCTCAGGGCCACCACCCAGGCAGGGGCTGGCTGGCAGGTGGCCGCCGACCTCTCCCCACTCTCATAGTTGCTCGCTGCACTATGGCCCTGCCACCCCTTTATTTCTGTTTCCCCTTAGCAGCTCACTGAACTGTCGCCCCAGCCTGGTGGTCCGCAGATTTGCTGTCTGGGGCTTGTCTCACACTTGGGTTGCTTCCAATCAGTGCATATGTGAGGTGTGAGGAACCCGGAGGGCCAGGCCTTGGGGGCTGACCAGCAGGGACTCCCCCAGGCCTTGCCCCAGAGACCATCCACTTAGGGTCTGTTGATTAATCCCTCTGGGCAGGACAGCTGGGGACAGCCATCCCAGGAGGACAGGAGGAGAAGCATTCCTGCAGGGCCCACCCACCACCACTGAGGTTCCTTCTCACAAAAACTGAAGGAGAGGGGCCCTGATCCCATTTCAGGACAGTCGTTTTAATGAGCACCTACTAGTCCATGCCAGTTCTGGGAGTGCAGAGTGAATACGCCTCATCCCTGTCCCTGCCCTAGCTTGGCTGGTGGCTGTTGTAGGAGGCTTGTACCCTCCCCAGCTGGTAGCCACCCTCTGAGCTCTGCTGGCTTGCAAGGGCCCTGTGGTGGCTGTTGAAACCCTTGTTAATGATAGCATCCTATGGCTACAGAGGAGGGTCCCCAAGTGAGGGCAGAGGCAGGAAGCTGAGGTCAGGGTAGAAGGGAGGGTGGGGGTGGCCCTGTGCCCCAGAGACCCTTGGAGAGAGAGGCAAGGTCATTTTGCTTATCTCTGTCCTCTCCCATTCACAGACCTGACCCCTTGGGGAAGCCTTAGGGATTCTCTTCACTGACCCAGGGGTGGCAGCCAGTTAGGGCCCCCGCATGAGTGACTGGCTGTCAGGACCAGAGGGTCCTCCAAGATCTCCTCCTCAAACCCCGAAGGACGGATGGCCAGTGAGGACAGTAACTTGTCCCCAGCCCGCAGCCCCCCGAGCCCTCTGCACAGACTCCTTCTGGCTGCACTGTGCTGCCTCCTCCCAGTCTGCCCCCCAAAAGCCGTTCCTGTGGTGGGGGCAGGGCCTGGGGCTGGAAGAAGGCTTGTCTTCATCACAGGGCTGCTGAGGCGAACCGTGGGTGCCCTGGACACCACAGAGGAGCCAGGAGCTTGGAGGCCCTGAACTGTCCCTGTGTCTGGGGCAGCCTGGTGCTGCAGAGCCCTGCTGTCAGAGGCACCCACTCCGGCCCGGCTCCAGGTGGCTCTGCCACCCGGGACTGTCTGGCACTTGCAGAAAGCACGGCAGGGTCTGCAGGATGCTCTGTCCCTTCTCCCTCTCACACACACACACACACGCACACGCACACACACACGAGTGAAGGGCCTCTGCTTGCCCTTTCTTCCAATCTCTGCCTGGGAATCCCATTGGGATGTGTCAGTCTCACTGGGATATGTCACCTTTGGGGTGGTGTCCCTGACTCTATCCAGGCAGGGCTGCTGCATTTACTCACTTAGGCCCCTGCTGGCCTCATTTGAGCCCCTGTCATGACATATTTTCCCTGCACCAGGTGCGCATCCCTGGGGTCAGGGCTACATCCCACCCTCTTGGTAGCCCTGTACAACCCAGTACACGGTATGTGGCATTGAGTAGGTGCTCCAGGCAGGCTGAGGGAGAGAAGCCAGAGTCCCCAGTTCATTGCGTTTATGGGGACGCCCCGCTCTCCATTCCTGTGTGTGCTTTACTGCGGTTTAGCTTTCTTCCCTCTGTGTGCCAGGAGGGTTAGGAGGCGAAGAAGTCCAGGATCGGCCAGGAGGCTCTGTCCTCGTATGGTGGGGCCTGGGATAGGGTGGAGCAGTGGGGCCGGGGGAGGCCTGGCGGTGGGTCAGTGCTTTCCCTGGCCGGGGTCTGTTTCTGGAGTCCTTGGCACACCCTGCTGGTCGTCTGGGACAGTTTGTAGGGCCCCATCCGATCAGCTGGGTCTCCCCTTTCCTGGGGCTGCACAGCCCTGGCACACAATCTCCCGGGCTCTGTTTGCCTCCACCAGCCAATTTCTGCTCTTGCCTCTGTACTGCCCACCACATCTGGGGCAATTAAAAGTGCGTTTGGGTGGGTTGCTGTAAGCCCCCCTCACCACATGCCTGCAGGATGCTCAGCAACCCTCCACCGCCTGTCTTCTCCTCCTGCTGTTCCCTGCGTGAGGCTTTTCCCCAGAACACAGACCCACGGGCATCAGAACATGGCTGAGAGGCCCGTCGCTGTGTCCCTGTGTCTGTTAGGCGTCCGTTTCCGATGTGCAGGTGCGGCTTGTTTCAGAGCCTTGGAAGACTTGAGCACCTTCTTTCTTTTCTCTCCCCTCCCTCCAGCTCTTCATTTATTTGTTATCCCTTATCCATCCTTCAGTGCATTCATTCAACACATATTCTTATTGCATGTTCCTGTGTCCCAGGCACAGAGGGCCACAAATGTACGAGGCTGGTCCCTGGGCCTCAGGCTGATAAGATGCGCAGCTACGTGGTCAGGTAGTGGTAGGGGGGAAAGCAGTCAGCACACTGAGAGGGCCGATAGAGCGTTACAGGTTCAGAGGGAGGCTGTTGTAGCCCAGCAGTGGAAGCAAGGCTCAGAGACAAAGTAAACCCCCTGCCAGGCCTGGAGGAGCAGGGAGAACGTGTGGAGACGTGGAATTGGGGTGGAGCAGCCTCGGGCATCCCAGGGCAGAGGGCAAGTGGGAGCAAAGGCACGGAGTCAGGACAGCACAGAGCAGGTGAGCAGGGGGTCTGCGGGCCGTTTAGATAAATTAAGTTTTGTTGGGGCACAGCACACCCTATAGTTTACATGCTGTCCAGGTGCTACAGGCCGAGTGGAGTAGCTGTGACAGACGTTGTTGCATGGCTGGCAAAGCCTGAAACAGTGACTGTCTGGCCCTTTGCAGAGAAGGTTTGCTTACCCCCGATCTAGAGGGCCGGCAGGCCGTGGGTTGGCTGAGGCCTACTGGGCAGGAAGGAGTGGAGAGTAAATCAGACGGGCAGCTGGAGTGGACAAGTGTTGAGAGGCCACCGAAGGCTCTTGAATGGGGAGTGTTGTGGTGAAAAGGCAGGACTCTGACTTGGGGGGGTAATCCGACAGCAGGTGGAGGTTGGTCGGCAAGGGAGAGACACGCGGAGACCTGTTAGATCTTCGCTGTGGGTGAGAGTCCGTAGATAGCAGGAGGCAAGAAAGGAGGGGTTGGATGAGGGGGTGGCAGGGAGTAGAGGGGGACAAGGTGTGTTATTGGGGTGAGTGTGTCAGGAGGAGGTGGCCAAGGGCACTGAGATTTGGGGTGGGGCCAGGAACAGACACAGGGGACACAGGAGATTGCTGGCGTGCTCGGGCCAGCAGTTTTCCCAGAGAGGCAGTACTGGACTTGGTCCCTAGCGCCTGGGCCAGACCAGCAAGGCTCTGGGGCTGCCAACCCAGCTTCAGGTGTGGTGCAGAGGTTGGCAAGGAAGAGGAAGATAATAATGTCCTTCCAACTTCCTGGGCAAAGGGCCCCTCTGGGAGAAATTTCTAGAAGGTTGGACCTTGCTTCTGCTGCCATCCTGCCTCTATGTCTGCATTCTTTCCCCTTTGGCCCCCCAGTGCCACCTGTGTGGACAGTTCTTTCATGCTTCTGGTGGCCTGCAGTGCACACAAAGGTCAGCTTCCCCCACGAGGTCCCTGTGCCCTCCTCTTAGAAGCCCTGCCCCCTGCCATCTTAGCAGCCCAGGCCATGCCCTCTGGGACACCGCAGACCCAGTGACCTTGAGGCCGACTCTGAGCCTGCCTCAGGGACTTAGGGGCTCTGAGTATGAGAGGGGCAGGACCTGGAGCCTCCCACCTCTGTTCTCCCAGACGTGTTCCCTCAGGGTCTAAGAAAACTGGGTGAGGTCGGCATCAAGGGTGGCTTTGGGTGGCATGGCCTCAACAGATAGCTTGCAGCCTGGGGGGTTGGGGAAGGATGCAGCCTGTCCCCTTCCCAGTTCCTGAGCTGGTATGGCGGTGACCGTGTGGATGTTGTTTCTCTCATTAGGTTGTGAGCAGGGTGGTGACTCATTCATCTTTGGGACCCCTTGCAGGGGGGAGCAGCCGGGGAGAGTTCATGGAGAAAGAGGCAGTGAGTTTGAGCCTCTGGATTTTGGTGGAACATTTCTCTCTGCACCTTCCCCATACGCCACTTTCAAGAAAGGTTGGCTGGTAGGCAAGCACCCACGCTGTTCTGGGTGCCTGGGACTGGGTCTTGGGTTTGCCCCTGGGGGCAGTTACTGCAGCCTCCTCTGCCCGCTCTGTGTTTTCTGGAAGTCAGGTGGAGGGTGCACCTGGGGCAGAGACTGTCCCTTGGCTGTTACGACCCAGCTTATATCCGACATCCACAGCGTTCATCTAAGGCTTCCAGAACCAGTGACACTCCGGTCCAGCAGGCTCCCAGGCTGCCAGGCCACATGTTGCAGGTGTGCTGAATGCCCAGGGGAGAAAAATCCATGCCCACATTCAGGGTTCTTCCCTCCTGTGGGTGGAGGCCTTGCCCTGGTGCTCCTGTGTATGCTGGCTTCTCACCACGTGGGCTGAGATGGGGGACAGCCCTCAAGAGCCAGCCATGTCAGGTCCGTGTCCAGGACCCAGGAAGCTGGCATCCTGCCAGGCAAAGGTATATTGGCTGCCTTAGAGACAGTTTAATTTAGATATTTTCTCAAACCTGATTTATTTTTATGGCAGTAGACTGTTTTTAAAAACAATTCTGTGCATAACTCCAACATATAAAACAAACCCAGAACTGCTTTGGTTGAAGTGGGGGTGAGGACCCTGCTTCCCAGCTGTCTGGTTCCACACAGGTTCCGTATTTAGTGAGCACTGTTGGGGAGGGGGGAAGAGGACATGGACCTGGAGGGGGCAGAGATGGACCTGCCATGCTCAGAAGAGCAAAGCAGGAAAGGGTGCTGGAAGGAAGAGTGTCAGGCCATGTGGCACACAGCTTGACAGGCCACAGGATGTACAATTGCTTAGGGAGGTGACCGAGTGGGGACTGGTGAAGGTGGGGGCCATCACCTGGCAGAAGTGGTGACAGCTCGGCCTCTGATGTGGGTGGACGGGCTCCATCCAGCAGTGACCTCCATGGCCTTGGCTGGATTGCACTGGGTCCTGGGCAGTGGAATCTAGTCTGCAGGCCCAGAAGGGCCCTTCCTCAGGGATGCAGGCTGTATCTCAGTGCCTGGAATCATTGCTAATCATTGGTGCTCTGATCCTGAGCAGGATCTTCCTGGGGCCCTCGTTCCATTCCTGCTGTGCTCGTTGTCACCATGGCCAATCTCCAGCATGGGTAGTGACTCTCCTGTTGGCTGGGCCTCTGTGACAGCTGGGGTCTTGTTTAGCTGACCAGATGCCCTGGGTGGTAGATTGCCTGTGATGTCCAACAGTTTATTGATACTTCTGGCCAAGAACAGTGATTAGGAATAATATCTTGGGCTTCCCAGCTACTTTTGCTGGCCAAAGCTTCCCCACAAGTACCTTGGGAATGAGGCCATTTGAAGCCAGAATAAAAACATCAGGTCCCCATCTGGTTCCCATGAATCACCACAATGATGATGAGGATAACAAAGGCCTGTTCTTCATGCACACCCTCTGGGTGCACCCAGGTGGTCATGCGAGAGTAGAGAGTCCTGGAATTATCACCAAGCCAGCCTCTCATTCTCATACCTTACCTTGACCGCAGAGCTCCCAGATGCTACACATCCATTTAGGGTGGAATGGCCAGCACCTGGCACTGTTGCCAGATGTCTACCTAACATGCACCAGTGGCAGACAACACTAATTAATCACAGCTCTCTTCCCCATGAGCTCAGATGAGGGCTCATGATCTTTTTGGAGCTGGCACTTGGATGCCAATTCTGATCTGTAGCACTGATTGACTGATTGATTCATGAATCCAGTAAACATTTACTGAGGGCTATTATGAGCCAGACACTGCTCAGTGCAAGAAAAAGAAGATATGGTCCCTACCTTGTCAAGAAGACCTGAGTATAGCAGAGAGACATGCAGATGGCTTATCACTACATCATGCTGTATTAGACAGCAGAGTTTGAAGTGTCTTCTCTGGAAGACTGGAGGAGACAGGCCCTAATTGCTGAGGGTATCAGCAGGGGGCAAAGCCCCTTGTGCCTCATGGGATTAAGCCACTGCTCTTTGAGCGTACCCCATGCTTAAGGATGCCAGTGGTGGACGGCAGGGCCGTGGAATGTTCAGTCTCACCTAAGTCATTGGACAAAGCCAGCCAGACCCAGTCCCAGGGACCTGTTCTCACTAGTGCCTTCTCTCCCTCAGGAGCAGGGACTGAAGGCCAATAACTCCGAAGAGTTAAGCATGTGCTTCACAGAGGTGAGTGAGGGGCATTGGTGGGGGTGGGTGGGTGCAGGGGACTGAGCCAGAGGGGGCTGTTTCCCAGGTGAGCTTTGCACCCGAGAGGCCATTGTATGGGCTGGGCCAGCTGAGCTTCTGGCCCATCTGGACCTGGGTGGGCACTCACTCTGCTGGGGGGCTGTGCAGAGGCCACAGCTATGTCCTCGGGAGAGACGCCAGTGGCTGCTTGGAGCACACGGCCTCACAAGCCTTCCTGACTCTGTAGGACAAGTGTATTGAGCACCCGCTCTGCACTGGTTCAATAGTGTTGAGGAGACGTAGAGGTGGAAGACCCAGTCCCTTCCTAGAAGGAGCCCAGCATAGGAAAACACCTGTGACTACGTGTCTCGCGTATATATAACTTAGTTGGGAGGAGAAGGCAGTGTGAGATGCTATAGAAGGAGAGAGCTCACACAGAGATGTGCAGGGCAGCTTCACGGAGGGGGGATTTGAGCAAATTTAGGAGCAGGGAGATGGAGCTTCCCTCTGCTCTCCTCACGAGGAACAGGTCTGTGCGGACCCCAGAGCTGATTTTCCACCCCTCTCCTCGCTGTCTGTCTGCAGACCTTCACTTGGCAGCATCAGCTGAGGTGGGAAGGGCAGTGATTTCTCTGGGGACCGCCGGGCTGCTTCCCTGAGCCCAGGTCCCAGCCCAGGTCCACAGAAGCCTGGCTCTGTTTCCGAGTGACTACAGATTTGAGTATCCCTGGGTGGGCTGGGAGGAGCCTGGGCAGAGGCTGCCTCTTGCCCCCAACCCCCCAGTGGCTCAAGGAGTCCACTTCCTGAGTCTTTCCCTTTACGTGACCCTGGCCCTGCTGACTTTTTTTTTGTCTTGTGTTGTTCTCTTTGCTTCTGTCTCCCTTCTGCTGTGGCTGCAGCTCACGACTAATATCATCCCAGGGAGTAACAAGGTGATCAGACCTAACTCAGGGCCCTGCAGAGCCAGACCCTCGGCTGCCTTGACTGCTGTCTCTTTCTTGATGCTGAAGCTGGCCTTGTAGGCTCTGGGAGCCTTGTTGGGAGATTTCCAAGAGCTACATGGATGAGGACACCTGCCTGACAAAATGGAAACACACACACAGACACACACACACACACACCCCTTTGCAAAAAAAAAATTTTTTTTCCCAACTTGTCTCTGAACTTGTCTCTCCCAGGATTCTTCTCTAGAGAAGATTTTCTAAACCAAACAGACAAGCAGGCGGGCGGCCTGAAGCTAGCCAGGAGGTCCCCTGTCAAGGGACACCCAGTGCCAGGGAGGCACAAGGGTCTAGAAATGCTCTTCACTGTCTCCTGGGGTTTTCCTCCCCACCCTGCTGATGTAAGAGACTGAGGGGACATCCTGCAGGCCAAGGGACTCTGGCTGTGGTGACGCGAGCTGGGAGCAGGATGCCGCGGCTGCTCTTCCCAAGACACCCATTCCAGAGATCTGTGGAGGGCTCGGCGGGTGGCGTTGGGTGGCAGAGCAGCAAGGCTGGGCCCTGGGGCCCGCTGGGCACGTTGTGCCTCCACTTGGCTTCAAGGATGGAGTTTCTTTCACCCGGGTGGAGCAGGTCTCTCTCTGACCTGGGAGCCCCAGGGATGCCTGCAGAGGGTGTGGCACTGGGGACCCCTGGCTGTAGCAGGGGGCTTGGGAACAAAGCCCGCCTGGAACAGTCTCTTGGGCGCCGGGTTTCATGCTTCCTCCTTGGTGGCAGGAATTTTGAAATCAAAGACAAACGATAATTTGTTGGCTCTTCTGGTCCATTTGGTGGGTCTCCCCGTGGGGGGAGGGGCCCACAGAGCGTGGTGGGGGCCTGCTGCCCCATGCGTGGCCTCGGCGGCTCTCGCCCTTTCTTCCCTGTCCCCTTTCCCACCTTCTCTTCCCTCCTTTCCCAAAGGCCAACTGTATGTACATAACACGGCTCCTTTCTCTACATATATGTATATTCACATCCATATACATATATCGTGTGGTTTCCCCCTTCTTTCCTTTTTATAAGAAACAAAACTATTGAAAAAATACCCCAACAAATGAGCGAAAATGTATTATTGTAAAGTTTATTTTTTTTAATAATGTTGTCTACAATGGGAAAAAGGAGATGCACCCCCTGTGTCTCTGCCCCAGTTGGGTTGACTGGGCCGCCGTGGGGGTTCCGGCCCCGCATTCACACGTAGCCAAGGCTCCAATAAATGTACTAGGACGCAGCCTGTGTTCTGCCTCCCTCTGGGTGTGCCTTCCCCCCCTGTTTTGTTCTGGGCTCAGCGCCCCCTCTCAGCTGCTTTCCTGGGCTCCCGGGGCACCTCGCAGGAATGTGTATGTGCGCATGCCCACGGCTCCACGAATCCCGCGTCCTTGGCGTAGGTGATGGAGCTCCCGTAGGAGATGAGTTTATACTTGGCAGGTCTCGGAGCCCTGGTTGTGCTGGGCCTGCTGGACCATTCACCTGTCACCTGCCATCCCTCCCTTCCCAATCAATGCCAACGGCCATTGGTCCCAAACTGGGAGAGAATGAAAGTAGCTGCGGGGATGGAGAGGGGAGACAACTAGGCATGTTTGTAAGGCTGCTGGGTGGCCCTATTCTCTTCTGTAGAGTGGGCTGCTGTCTGCCCCCGGACCCCTGGTTTATTTAGTATGTGACTGTGGAGGTGGGACTTGGCCTCTTGGGTCCCAGGTGGTCCATCCCTTCTCATTCTCTCCGTCTGCCCCCTCTGCCCCATCTAGACACTGGGCCTGGAGAAGACTGGGAGGCTGCCTGCTGGCCGCATGTAAGTGTGTATGTGTGCATGTGTGCGGGCTGACGAGAGTTGAGTGCACATGTGAGTGTGAGCACACGACAGGAGGGAGGAGGGAAGGTGCTCAGTGAGGGATGCTTCTGCTGTCAGCCTGGCCTGCCAGGCTGCCCACGATCCCATCCTGTCACCATTGGGAGACAACGCCCTTTTCCATTCCCCTAATCCTGGGTCCCTCCAAACGGCTCCTGTTCTGGAGGATTCTAGGAACATCAGTCATGATGGGAGTCAGTGGGGTTCGCCATGTTCCAGCCTCTGCCTTGGGGGACAGTGAGCCAACCAGCCCTCTCCCCACGCCACCACTGGCCTTTGTGTGTGTTCAGTTGGGAACCCACATTCTTTGCAAACAGCAAAGACTGGTTAACATTAAATGGCTTTGGGGGGATGTGTCTCAGAGTCTGTGGGAGATAGAAGGACCAGGGGTAGCCAGGGCGAGAACCAAAGAACATCTGCTCAGGAGCCAGGACATCAGGAGGCAGGATCTACAGGGTCAACAGGCTGATGCCTCTGTGACAAATGACCACTAACTGTTGTCCAGTTGGTTGACTTGGGGCCTGGTACCTACCTCCTACCAGACTTGGGTGGGAGAGGATGCTATGTTATATCTGGTATCCTTAAGGGGAAATAAGCCTTTGGTTGCATACTGGGAGAGAGAAAATTTCCCAGAAGGAAATGAGGTGCCATTATGAAGGAGGAGTGGATGCTGGGCAGCTTTACTCTGCCTTAAAACAGCTCCTCATGCAGATACCACATAGCTGAAATTTTACCATTATATATTTATTCCTTTGGTTGAGAAGATGCCTGTTCTTTCTGAGCCTCTCAAAATATGTAAATAAAACTGGGAAGAATGTTACTATCTTAATGCTAATTAATTTAATGGTTTGAATGAATCTTAGTAACATTAAGACATTTAGGCCTAGACAATGAGATTGGGCTTGGGGGACAGATAAGTGGAGAGAAGCCGGAATGGCATCAGAGAAGATTAGTAGGGGCCACCAGAGATAGTTCTAAAATGATTTCAGAGTTCTTTTGGGGAGAGTTAGCCACATGAAGTATAGGCCCACTGTGCTTTTACCCCCCAGTCAGCAAAGTCTATAAAATGAGCTTGCTTTGCCTCCAGCCCCCTGAGGATTCCTGACATGGGGCATGCATCGTCTGCAAACTCATCTTACCTGTTTCCTAGCCTCCAGTGCCTTGTCCAGACTGAAACCACACAGGAATGCTGCCCCCCATCCGTGGGGAAACTCCTGGCCTGGGGCAGTGCTGCTCAGCCAAAGCCCAGCCACCAGCTTCCCACCCTGCCCTGGCCTCTGCTGCCCTCCTAGCGCAGCTAGGACTCCCTGGACTGAGCTGGAGCCCAGTGGAGACCCGTGGTGGTGGGGATCCCAAGAGGCAGGTGCAGAGAGAGAGCCGTGCCCTGGTCCTGTGCTGACGTGGTGGCAGCTGCACAGCTGGGCCCCTGCCTTGTTCTGAGACCAGACACGGGTGTTGTCTCGGTCCCCTGCACCGTGGCACTACCTTCATACTCTGTGTGGCAATGCAGGTTTCCCAGGACTGAATCTCCAGGAAACAGGCTTCCCTGCTCTCATGAGCCTTCCCTAGACACAAGCCCTGACTTGGTCCTCAGGCCCTATCTGGGACCTCCACCAGACCCTCCTGATGCTGGGCTGATCCTGGGTAGCCAGGGTGGCCACCTCTCACCTGCCCACTGAGATGCCCATCCAGGAGCCCAGGTGTAACCTCCCAGTGCTGCTTCACTGCTGGCCGCTGGGCTTCCAGGGCCTGATGGTCCCCCTGCAGTGGTTTAGCTTAGTGCCAAAGAGCCTCATGGCTGTGTGTGTGTTTGCATGCTTGTCCCCCAGTCCTGGCTCTGCCCCACTGATGCCAAATGCCTAAGACAAAGATGTTCCTTTACTCACATAATGGCAAACTCCAGTGTTGCCTGCTGGCTGGAGAAATTCTTTGCCTACCTTTTCTAATCTGTGAAGTGAGTTTGAATTGGGCCTTCCCTCTCATGTCGGCTAGGAGCTCAGGGGATGCAATGGGTCACAAGCTCCATAGTAACATAAGTAGAAGTAGTCATAGCCCGTTGCCCATTCTTTTAGACTCTCAGTGGGGGTAGATACCCATCTTCTATAAACAGATTAAACTTTTTAGGAAAACTCAAAATAATTTGGAGCACTACCTAGTGAAGGATGTTGGTAACTTTCTTGGTAGTGGGCCTAATGGTAGAAAGGCTGGCTTCTCCTCTTGTTGTTCAGCCTTGGTTACCTCACCTACAGAGTTGTACTAGATGGTGATTAAGGTGCTTCTCACCCCTAAGCAAGCTCCGATGGGGAGAGGAGAGAGACAAAGGCCAGCACAGAGGTGGATCCCGGCTCTGTGCCTCCAGTGCCCTGAGCCCACCCTGTGTGCCCAGGTGACCACTCTGAATGTCTAAGTTCAGATGTGTTTTCTGAAAACCCAGCCACACTACCTCACTGTTATATCTCTTCTGTTAAAGCAAGCGAGTAAATAGAAAGGGCTTTGAAATGAGATGTTTATAAAATTGTGGCTGAGCAGAGCATCAATTAACCAGAACATTCTTTGCCATATTCTGCTTCTAGAGCAAAGTGCTTGTTTTGTGCTGTACCTTGCAGAGCAGAAAAAAGGGAGGGAACATTTTAGAAGGATTTTAATAGCATTACTGGAAATAAAAATCAAATGTAGATACTTAAAAATACATATATTTGAGACACTGGGTGCCAGGCACTGTTGCAGAACTGCATGAGGAGTAACTCATTCCATCTCCACGGGGAGGCACTGAGGCTGGCACTGTAACCCCATTCTACAGGTGAGCAGACTGAAGTATAGACAAGTTGCTCTCTTGCCCAAGATCATATAGTGGGTGGGCGGCAGCGCTCGGATGCAAGCCCAGGTGGGCCGGCTCTTGCTTCTGCGTTTTAACTGCTGTCTGGGGCTGCTGCCTGAACTGAGCTTCCACATTTGTGTCCTGCCTGGTGCTGCTCTGTGGCTGCCAGACAAAGGCAGCCACTTCACTAGGTGGCTCCAGTTCATCTGGGCTTCACCACTGCGCTCTCTGCTCCCTCTTCAGCCCACAGGGCAAATGGTGAGGGGGTTCCATAAACTAGCTCATGAGGTCCAGGAGCATGTGGCCCCAGGAAGGGGAGAGGAGCAAAGCAGGTGCTGTTGGGGACAGGACCCTTGCCCAGGCCTCTGGTGGGGCCTGCAGGATGGGGCACATCCACCTTGGTGTTGGCCACCCTGATTTTGTTGGGATGGATGATGACCTTGACGGGAAATGTCTTCGGCTAGAAGATGGCCTCTCCACCAACAGGACAGACTGGCTAGGAGCCTGCTTGCTTGTCTCTGGACTGCCCGTGCCTTGGGCACCACAGTGATGAGGAAGGAAGACACGTTCGGGGGGCAGCCAGACCTGGATTTGAATTCCAGATCTTTTGCTGACCCACTGGGTGACCACATCCAGTGTAGACATTGTTTTTCTCATCTGTAAGATGGGAGTGGCAGTCCCTGCCTCCCAGGGACACCGTGTGGCACGGTGGGCACTCAGCCATGCCCCCTTTACCCGGTGGGCATGCTACCCTGGACCTCTGAGGATTCTCAGCATCCGTCTGCTGCCCAGGGTTACTCCTCGTGGCAGGAAGAGGAGCCGCGTTGGGGTCCATCCATCCTTGGAATGTTGTCTCCCTTCCTCCTCCCTTCTGTGTCGGAGAAGCTTTCATGGATTCGCCATGGCAGATGGAGCCCTGGACTGTGCTCCTGGAAGCGTCGCCAAGTGGAGCTGAGAGACCAGAAGGGTGGGAAGAACAAGAAGGAGACCTCCTCGCATTTGTAAAGCAGAGTTGAATGGATCTGCGAGTCACCCGGGACAGCGGCCACAAAACATCCACGTGTTGTGCTCTCTTGTGTCCCTTTGATCGGCCACCTCCTCCATGCATGAAGGCAGAGGATGTGCCACTGCTGTGAACATGCCAGCTCAGAACCCAGGGCGGGAATCTTTGGCCGTGGGAGTTGAGGGCAATGCCAGCACCTGTGGGAGCAGGCTGGGTCCTGGGGGGGCCCTAGGGGCAAGAGCAGAGCAGCTTGACCTGCCCGGGTTCTTGGGAGTTACCTGCAGGCAGGGCTTCCAGGCCCCTAACCCTAGTTTCGGAATGAGTTCTGAGTCACCTCACTGCTTTCTGAGCAGAACCATCTCTCTTCTGTGATCTCAGAATATAGAAAACAGGTTGGCAACTAGGTGAAGGTCTGATGCCATACTCTCTCATCAGGAAGTCTGGGGTGTACGAGAGAGGCTCTGGGTTCAAGCTCTGGCTTGGCTGTGTCAGCTAGTGCCCCTAGCTGAGCCACTGCACTTCTCTGAGCCTCAGAAAGGTTGTTCTAGGCCACAAACTGGCAAACTTTGTTCTATAAGGGACTGGATAATAAGAATTATAGGCTTTGTGGGTCAAAGCTTCTTGGTTGCAACCACCAGTGGCTTGAAAGAAGTCATAGGCAATGTGTGCATCATGGGGCCTTTCTGTGTTTCAGGATAACTACACTTACAAGACAGGAGCAGTCAGACTTGGCCCATGGGCCACCCCTTGCCCTTGATAATCTCTGAGACCAAGCTCTCAATCTCAGGCTGTCTGACCACAGAGCTTTGGTGGCAGGGAGTGACAGTGAGTTATGGGGCTGAAATCATCCCTAGGCTGGAGGAGGAGAGAGGGCAGGTTTCCAAGAGGAGGCTGTGAACCCACAGACAATCTGGTGGAAGTGAATGCAGGGCAGAAAGGCCGTACGTTGGTCCGTGGGTGTGAGGAGAGACTCCAGGTTGCCTGTGGGCCACATGCACATGGGTGTGCTCTGCATAGGAACTGCACACATGATTCCTAAGCTGTGTCTGCATGGGGGAGAGCAAAGGGGCTGAAATTCAGCTGTGCTCAAGTCATCTATCCCGGTGCCCACCCTAGGCCTCAGCCTTGGAAGGGGGCGGCGCTCCCTGGTTGCATGGAGGCTTCTGCATGTGCGGGAGCAGCACCTGTGGCGAAGAACAAAGAAGTGGCTGTGGGGTGGGAGGTATTGCTGCACACAGAGGGAGGTCACGCTGGCACACACTGAAGGCTGGTGCTGGCCTGGGCTTGGCCCCACTCTCCTCATCTACAAAGGGACAGTCAGAGGCGCTGCTCTGCAACGCTCCTCCTCTCCATAGTGGGACTCTGTGATGCTGTGACTGCCAGCTGTTTCTGAACTACCAGCCCGTCACAGAATGACTTGTAAGGAGACAGAATTCACCTCTTTCAATAATCCCCACCGCTGCGCTTGGTTGCTCTGGTTTTCATCCAGTGTCTTGTGTGGAGCTGCACATGACTGTGGGTGTGGCTGCTGGAGGTGCCCCTCATGCTCTGCCTCAGGCCGTCTCCTTTTATGACTGTGCTTCCTGCAAAGTCAAGACCTGCCTGAGCTACGCCTATCCAATTGCATCCTTGCCTCCCCTGGAGAGGGCACACTTGAATTACCACCTTGACCTGGAGCCCGCATGGCAGTCAGAGGTCACGGAGCTCCCTGCCCTTGGACCACCCAGGTCAGAAGTGACTAGTTCTTGCCAGGCATCTCTGCAGGGAAGTTTGCCCAAACATGGTCAGCGTGATTCAGGGTGTTGGAACTCCTGCAGCCACAAAACAGG